CAACACTGCACCTGCACATGTACCTGGATTGAAGAGAATGATTGCTCGAAGGCAGCCCAGCTCTGTCTTGTCCATTTGCATGTCTCTCATTTTACTAACAAGCTCTGTCAAAACCCTGAAGAGAGGACAAGAGATATGCAAAGAGAGAAGTCCCAAATGGAGACAGTAGGAAAAAGCCGGAAGAGAAAGGGGGAGAAAAAAAAAAAAGAATGGGACAAGGAAAAAAAAAAAAAGAGGGGGAATCGATAAAAATAGGAGAAAATACATGAGAAAAAGACAATATTAAGTGAAACAGAGAGACCAGATGGCAAAACCACTGCTATTTATGGTTACTTATTAATATAATGACTGTAAGTTAGGCCGTGGCTGAACACTGCTGGTTCTGCAGCTGCACCGGTGACTGAATCTGTCCTATCATGAAAATGGCTGGCAAATGTCAAAATCTACAATGACTGAAGATAAAAATGTTTTTAGTAATTTCTTGTTTAGTTTAAAACTTTAATTTAATTAACTTTAAAGCAGAGACACATTTTTCATTTACCAAACACAGACACAGAATTTGGACCAAAGCTGTTGAGAATAAACCCAAAATGTATTTAGTGAAGGGAACATATCCTGTTGTTGTCTCTGTTAAACAGTTTTTTTTCTTTTTTAACTTTTCTTCATTTCAAGTACAAAGCTGTGGCTGTGGGGACAGCAGACCCACCCATCTGCTGTTAAAGCCTCCTGTTTGAAAGGCACAACCAGTGAGAGGAGGTAAAACGGCTCGTTTCAGGCAGTGGATGGACTGAGGAGCTGCACAGAGACCGAGGTGGAAATAATCCCCTGTAATTCCTAACAGTAATCCTTTAAACATAATTTAAGGTTTAAAAAAAACTAAATTTTTCTAGGACTGTCATCAGCATTTTGATGAAATGCTCACTTTTAAAATAATGTCTTAGAATGGCTACTTTTAATTTTTCACAACTGCAACTAACAAAAACACAACCTAAACATGAAAATGTCACAATAACAACATTTTCAAACATTTCATTCAATGCATTTATCAATCTTTAGTAGACGTTGCGTTTTGCAAACTATTAAGTGTTTCCCCTCCAGGCAAACGAACTGAGTGAAAGAGGAATGGGATACAATTATAGAGGAAGAGGAAGAAGTGATGACTGTTAGAGACTGCTTATTTGCTTCTCCATCCTCCTTGATCAGAAACGAACATCTGTTTTTAATGTTTTTTGTTTTTTTTGTTTTTTTTAAACAGACACCACCTTAACCAACATTACGATGCACTGCAAAATCAATTGTTTTATGCACGGCAGCGCTCTGGATAAATGCCTCTCCCCCCCCCTTTTTTTTACTTGAGAACGTGGAGGAAATGAGGAGTAATTTATGGGGTACACCCAGAGTACGTGTCATTATTTTTATACTACGGGTATTTCCCATCTGATGACAGCCAACAACACCTCCACTGTAAATCAGGGGCTCTAAACTTTAACCGAGGACTTAGGTAATACAGTATTTGCTGTTCACAAAGGCAGTCCACACATTTAGTTTCACTCTGCAGTCATCTAACCTAAATATACCTTATGCTCTAAGAAAATGAAGTGCCAAAGTGCAAAACATTCAGTGACAGGATGCATTCAAAGCCACAAACAACACATGGTGTCTGACAGTACGCCGATCATTTACAATTTTTAGTAGGTGATGTTCAGACTTGTATCCTGTTGTAAGAACCTGGCTTGCAGCTGTAAGGCTGCAGGAAAATCTAACAGCATCAACGTTTCCACGTCGTTTGTTTGTTTGTTTGTTTTAAGGTAGACTTAAAGAGGAGGGGTTCAAGGAAAGTGTTTGTGTAGTGGGGTAATTACCTGTCAAATATGGCCCCAACCTCGGCATTGTGCGCCCTGTGTATTCAATCACAATGTGTTATTACAATGTCATTACACAGTTACAGTACAGTACTTTCTGTTCTGAGCCCTTCAGCTGTACAGGTAGTGCACAGGTAGTCCACGCTTACATGTGATGGGACATGGTTGTATTAAATTTGACGTCTGGTTTAAGGTTTGCTTTATTTGAAAATTTATTGTGCATGTACTGTTACATGTTGCTAAATGTGGACCTCTGTTAGAAATTTGATGTGCTTTATTACATTATAGTGTGTATATAAGTATTCAATGATTTGCACATGTATTAAAACAAGCACA